GTAACAAAACAATACACGAGGGGTTCGAGGGCCCTGCTCTTTCGAGCTTACAATCTAGGAGGGAGGGGATAGTGGTACAGGAGGAAGTGGCTGTGGGGGATGGAGTGGTAGGAGGAGTGGAGGAGATCGGCTGTTAGGTGAGGGTGGGGTAGGCTTCCCTGAAGTAATGGGTTTTCAGGGTGCGCCTGAAGGTGAGGAGGGTAGGTGTCAGTCTGATGGCTTGGGGTAGAGAGTTCCAGAGGATGGGGGAAGTCCTGGAGAAGTCCTGCAGTTGGGCGTGGGAGGAGGAGATCAGGGAGATAGAAAGTAGGGGTTTTGTGAGGAGCGAAGAGTACGGGTTGGGTGGTATTTGGGTATCAGGTCGGTGAGGTAGTTTGGGGCAGCGTTATGAATGGCTTTGTATGTCAATGTTAGTAGTTTGAATTTAATGCGTTGGGCAATCGGAAGCCAGTGGAGGGAATGACAGAGAGGGGGGTGGCAGAAGTGGAGCGTTTGGTAAGGTGGATGAGTCTGGCCGCTGAGTTCAGGATTGACTGAAGCGAGGAAAGCCTGTGTTGGGGTAGGCCGGTGAGAAGGTAGTTGCAGTAGTCCAGGAGTGAGATAATAAGGGAGTGAATGAGTTGTTTTTGTAGTGTCTGGGGTTAGGAACGTACGTATCGTGGAGATGTTGCGGAGTGGAGGTGGGGTGGAGCCTGCATGAATTTGCCAGCGATTAGACATGGGGTTGGAAGGACAGGTTTGAGTCTAGGGTGACACCTAGGACTTTGGCTTGCGGGGTGGGATTGATGGTGGCGTTGTTGGTCATGATGGAGAGGATGGGGGGGGGCGCGTGCTGGGGGGAAAACTAGGAGCTCGGTTTTGGAAAGGTTCAATTTGAGGAAATGGAACGACATCCAGTCTGATATGTCGTTCAGTAGGTGGGTGATACGGGCGGAGACTGAAGGAATGAGGTGAGGGGTGGAGAGGTAAATTTGCGTGTCATCGGCGTAGAGGTGATAGTTGAAGCCATGGGAGTCTATCAGTTTGCTGAGGGAGGAGGTGTAAATGGAGAAAAGAAGGGGCCCGAGAACAGAGCCTTGGGGGACCCTAACAGAGAGGGGGAGAGAGGGGGAGGTGGTAGCGTTATAGGTAATGCTGAAGGAGTATTTGGATAGATAGGAGGAAAGCCAGGAGAGAGTGGAGTCTTGATGCCAAGGGAGTGTAGTTTATTCAGGAGGAGGGGGTGGTCAACTGTGTTGAAGGCTGCGGAGAGGTCGAGGAGTAGGAGGACTGAGTAGTGGTCATTATCTTTGGCGGTCAGCAGGTCGTTAGTGATTTTGAGTAGGGCGGTTTCGGTGGAGTGTAGGGGACAGAAGCCAGACTGTAGAGGATCGAGAAGGTTGTTGTCAGTGAGGTGGGAGCTTAGGTGATTGTAGACTAAGTGCTCAAGGAGCTTGGATGTGCATGGCAGCAGGGAGATGGATCTAAGGTTGTTCAGGTCTGTGGGGTCCAGGGTTTTTTTTTTTTGAGTATGGGGGTGATGTGCGTGTGCTTTAGGGGGGAGGGGAATACGCCAGTAAAGAGGGAGAGATTGAAGATGTGGGTGAGGGAGCGTAGGATGGAGGAGGAGGGTGACCGGAGGAGTTGTGTGGGGACAGGGCCAAGGGGGCAAGTGGTGAGGCGGGCTTCTGAGAAGACCTCAGTGACCTCCTCAGTGGTAGCAGGGCTGAAGGAGCGGAGTGTTGGGGGGGTTATAGTTTGCGGGATGTTAGGTTTGGTGGGGGGCAGAGCGGTTGCGAGGTCAGAGGAGGGGAGAGTTGATGGGGTAATGGTGGGAGGGAGGCTAAGTGGGGAGGTAGATTGAGTATTGGCAATGTCTTTACAGATTGCATCAATCTTGTTTTGGAAGTGATTGGCAATCTCGTGGGCGGTGAGTGAGGTACTCGGTGGGGGTGGGAGGGGGAGAGAGTAGGGAGCTGAAAGTGGAGAAAAGCCGGCGAGGACACGAGGAGAGGGTTTTGGTTTTGCGCCATAATCGCTCCAGCGCACAACTGCGTCGTTTGAGATTTTTAGTGTGGTCCTTCTGCCAGGGTTGAAGCGGTCGAGGTCTAATGCTACGTGTGGTTAGGGGTGCTAAGGAGTCTAGGGCAGCTGACAGCGAGTCGTTGTACGCAGTAGTGGCCAGGTTAGGGCATGACAGTGGAAGGATACTGTCGTACAGACAGTCAGCTGTCGAGTGGAGAGGGGCTGGGTTCAGGTTGCGGAGGTTGCGGCTGGTGATGGTTTGACGTTTTGGGGGGGGGGTAGTTAGAGGATGGGGAGATGGAGAACGTAATGAGGTTGTGGTCAGAGAGAGGGAAAGGGGTGTTAGTGAAGTTGTGGAGGGTGCAGAAATGAGAGAAAACAAAGTCCAGGGTGTTCCCGACAGTGTGGGTGGAGGACTGTGTGCACTGTGTGAGTGCGAAAGAAGAGGTTAAGTGGAGGAGTTGGGATGTAGCCGGGTTGTTGACGTTGATAGGGATATTGAAGTCACCAAGGATGATGGTGGGTAGCTCAGAGAAGAGGAAGAAGGGTAGCTTTACTTGAGTTGCATTCGGGGCAGCAGGTGTAACCACGCGGCACTCAGTAGTCAGTGTAACTCTGATACATCCCTCTCAGTAACAGATTGAAATCCTGCTGGACACATAGTCAGGGTCTCAAGCATATCCTATCTTAATTCTTCCAATTCCATACCATTTTGTTGGTGTGAAGGCCTCCGTAGCGATGGTCTGCTCCTGCTTGCCAGAGGATACCTCACCCAACCAATGTATCACGCCTCGACTTGTTGCTTGTGACTTACAGTGTGAACTTGGTTACCATTAGTCATGGCCTTGTTCTTCCTTAATGTGCTTGCTTGATGCTATAATGTCTTGTACTTCATACTTTTCAAGTGCTTAAGCAGGTCCAGGTTCTTTGCATACGCCAGCCCTTTATGTACCCCTTTGAATAACTTTAAACCCGGCTTAAGGAAAAGTTCAGTACTCTTTATTAGCATTCTTCAGTGCAACTATGACAGCAGGAAATAGTGCAAACAGTTCCTTACATTGCCCAGACAATTTTATGGCCCAGGCATACATTGAGAGCATCAGGTCAACATGTTAAAGACCATAGCTGATGGCATGGTCTATATCTGGTGGCATCCCAGGATGCTTGTGACTAGTGGTCCTTCTCTGAATACAGATACAGCAGCAACACAGAAGCTCACGGAACACATGGGAAACCCACTCCATGGCTTCCTCTGGGGTTCTCGGACCTCAGCCTTCCCCCAATTTATACCAAAGATGAGCCAGCTGAAACTCAGAAATCTAGAGAACCGTTGCAAAGACTTTTAATCCTTAATTAACCTAGCCTTGGTGGGTACCTAACTAGCTAAGCAGTTTTCAACATGCTTACAATACTTTAGGCAACTTCCTTCAATTATTCTAATTTTTGCAGAATTCACATAGTCTGGTGACAAGGCAACAAAACAGCTATGATTCTGCTATTGACAGTGTCACCACTAAGGAAGTCATTCAGTGCAAAGCTGTATGAAAAGCTTGCATGTGTCTATATATGTACAAAGAAATGTTTCTGCTAGCTGCAAAGTAGAAGGCAGAGACTTGAAACACTAGATCCCTGTCTTCAACCCCGAATCAGGACTGCTGTATACGCAAGCAATGAGGTATAAGACATTGAGTAACTTGGATTTCATGAATTGTTTTGAGGCACTTTCTCAAAATAATGTAATATTATGGGAGGTTTCTCTACCCAACCCTGTGAGCCCCCATACACACCCTAGTGTTTTGTAGAATGTTTCCCTATGGGCTACAGCCAATATACGGAATCCCATTGTATTTCTTGTTCCTGTTCACATGTCATTGCTCAGTCATTTGTACACTGTATGCTATTTTTTAAGCTTATCCGGCATTTTTGACCCCAAGGACTTCAATAGAAGCATCAAAATTATATAAGTGCAGCGCTGTGATATATATATATATATATATATATATATATATCAATCCATTTATAACATCAATTACTCAGTGTATCACATACATCCAGATATTGTGTAGGTAAGCGCTAGGTATTATGAAGTATATAAATTAGAATAGTCAAATTAATGCTCTGAAAATAGTTGTTAGCAATCTGGATGATCTCAAACTCAACTTCAAAGGTATAAGTGCAGTGTTATAAATGCATGTAACATAAATACCATATAATAATAAAGTGCAGAGAAGTGCATCAAAAGTGCAACTAAGTGCAACAATATGCGTCCGTGACAACTGTAACAATAATTCAACTGGCAATAAAACCTAATAATGTCCTTTATGGAAAGATAATTATTCCAAGTGCCAAAGTGCAAACATGTAGTTACTCATGACGTGCAGATGTGTAGAAATTCATGAATTCATTAACGTTTCACTGACCATGTCTAGAATATTCATTACTGGTTTTCAGACTCTGGGTATAAAACAATTATTCCTAAATACAAGTTGAACTGTGAGTGTGCCTGGGTTATGGGAGCACCCAATATACAACCCAACTATGTTTACACAATAATATTGATCACATGGATTGGAAAGTTAGCATGACTGAACTGCGCTGCGTTACACAACTCTATCTATTGTTATTTGAAACAGTAAAAGAGTCCCTTTAAATTATAAACATATTGGAAAAATAATCTCTTTATGTGGAAATGTATCTTCTGCATGCTGGGTTGGTGATACTGAGTGGAGCACTGAGCAAAGATCTTGACATGTTAGCAGAAAAAGCAATGCAAATGACGGAGCAACCTTCAAACACTTTCATTTTGCATATTTTATTTATTTGTATCTACAATTTGCAACAATTCGAAAACAACGTTAATGAATAAGACTGAACATATTAATATGATAAGCAGTAGAGAAATAACACGTAAGCCAGTATTTGTAAGGCCTTTCATGTTGCAATAAAGGACTCTGGGCTCTGGACAAATCTTCAGTGGAGGACACCAAGCCACCACTAGACAAAGTCCACTGAGGTCGCCATTGAGTCGATACGATACCACACATGTTAACATTGCGCTGTATCTTTCCATAACCTTTTTCTCCCCAAACTTCTGCCCAGCTAGAAAAGACAAAAAAAGAGAAAAATTTATCTTTTAACTTAAAGTAATAGTTAAGCTATAAAGCTATATGTCTATACTTACCTGCTCTGTGCAATGGTTTTGCCATGAAAAGCCCCAATCCTCTTTTTGGGTTCTCCACTGGTGTTTCAGGCCCCTCCTCTTTGAAGAGTGCCCCATGGAAAGCCTCTTTCAATGGGGGCACCCCTGTGAGATTGCTCCTGAGCTGCCCTATCTGCGCCTATTGACACAGAGCAGGTGACTTGGCCCTGCCCCCTGCTCCCTTGTCACAGAATTTGATTGACAGCAGCCTGTGCCAATGGCTCCTACTGCTAGCAATCTTCCCAATCTTCCCAATGAGAAGACAGACAGCAGTGAGGACCTCTGTTCTTGTGCACATCGCTGGATCAGTTTGGACTCAGGTAAGAGAAAGGGCTAGGGCTGGGGGATCCTGCAGCACAGAAGGTTTTTAACCTTCATGCATAGAATGCGTGAAGGTAATAACCTTAATGTGGTTGTGAAGGAGAAAGGTTTCTTTCCTTCATGCATTCTATGTGCAGCATCCCCCCCAACCCCCTCAATACTCACCTGAGTCTCATCGCAATCCAATTATGTGAATGACAGTCTTGGCTGTCCCGGGTCTCCGCCTCTTCATTGTCTGAGAGAGCAAGCAGAAGCTATTGGCTCCTGCTGCTGTCAATCACAGCCAGTCAGCCAATGATGAGAGAGGAGGCAGGGCCAAGCTGCAGCTCCGTGTGTGAATGGACACACAGAGCAGCGGGTACCCCCATAGCAAACTGATTGCTGTGGGGGCACCAAACAGAAAGGGGGAGCCAGAAGAGCCTGTGGGGGAACCAAGAAGAGGAGGATCTAGGCTGATCTGTGCAAAACCACTGCACACAGCAGGTAATAATGTTTGTTTTTTTTTGCTTTGTTTTGTAAAATAAAAGAATTAGAATTGCTTTAAGGCTTTAGAAGCACTTTAACTTACAGACTAAACAAAATTAGACACTGAAGGACATACAGTAGGTGTGTATTCCTACGTCAGTATGTAATAATGTGGGCGATTAGCTAATACATAAGGCTGGCCATATACTATACAATTTTTCTGTCCAATTTCTCCACAATTTCCTTTAGATTTATCTTAAACTATTTAGTGCAAGGGCCTGCCTAATTTGATACAATTGAAAGTGTTGTTTAGGTTTGACCTCATATTATATGGTTTTGGTAAATCTAAAGCATATTTCTAAAGACAATTGTATAATGTATGGCCAGCCTAAGTCTAGGTTCCTTACAAATGTAACATTGTAAACTAGAAGAGTAGTAATAATTATATCCTTTGAAATATTCATTATGTTGAATGGAAAGTGTTGAAGCTATACTTTACCCACATGGTATGTTTATGAACGCCATGGTGAACAAGTGGTTACATTGAGTTCAGAGTTGCTGCTGCAGTTGTGAGCTTGACACTGGCTTTAGGAGCCAGCAAGAGGCTTTCTGGTAAAAGTGATTGGGCAGTTCCAGGGTGCAATGTGTATAATATTGTGTCTGTTTGCAGTAAAATGTATTTTAGTGCACCATTTTATAAAAATGGCCCCAGTAGACAAGTGGTTAAAGAGTGGGTCCAACCAAACAGCTCTTTTGGCCATACCTCCCCTGTGGGCCATAGGAGTGCACTTAGTTCTGCACTCCTGTGACCCAGATTCAGCCAATAGTGGGCTAAAGTCTGAAAGTTATTTTTGATAATCCAGTATAACCCTGGTTGAAAATTTTCCTTCCTGTCTGCTGGTCGTCTCTTTCCACAACTTCCTGAATTCCCTACATGCTTTGCAGCTTCTCCTCTGCTATTTACTTTCAACTTCTAAGAACTACACATTCCATGGTACCTTGATGCCTGCAGTAGTGATTCATGGACTGACTCTGGCTCCTGAAACTCTTCCTCTTAGCGCCTCTGTAGTACAGAATGCAGGCTCTGTGAAATGTGTGACCCAGCAGTGCCTACCCACAGGGCATAAAGGACACATGTCACAGAATTCAAGGAAGTAAATATGTGGATTTCTTCACTAACCACTTGCTCTCCTGGGGATGTACCCCCCTTCCTGACCAGGCCATTTTTTGCATTACGGCGCTCCGTTAATTTAACTGACAATTGCGCGGTCATGTAACGCTGCACCCAAATGACATTTATGTCCTTTTTTTCCCCACAAATTGAGCTTTCTTTTGGTGGTATTTGATCGTCTATGTGTTTTTTATTCTTTGTGCTATAAAAAGAGACTGACAAAAACAATATTTTTGACTTTTTGCTATTAAACATGTCCAGTAAAAAAATTTAAAAATCAAATTTTTTCATAAATTTACGCCAAAATGTATTCTGCGACATGTCTTTGCTAAAAAAAAATCCCAATATGTGTAAATTAATTGGTTTACGTGAAAGTTATAGTATTTCCAAATGGGATTTTTAAAAACATTTTTTACTAGTAATGGCGGCGATCAACAACTTATAGCGGGACTGTGGGACTGCGACGGACATTCTAACACTGGGGGGAATTGACATCAATACAGTGATCAATAATGGCACTGGGCAGGAAGGGGTTAACATGAGATGTGATCAAGGGATTAACTGTGTGCTGGGAGTGTTTTACTGGGGGGGGGCGGTGTGTTGGTTTCACTGTAATCACTTTAATGCACAGCACAGCCATCCAGAGCAGTGTGCCCGAGCCAACAGGGAGGAGGACTGTTAGTAAACAAAACAGTCCTCCTCTCTATCAGTGACCATTGGAAATCACCGGGCACCGGCGAGTAATTACCAGCCGGGGCCGTGAATAGCAGCGCGGGTAGAGTGCCTGATTTTATATACCTGGTATATATATACGTGATTTTGCTCACCCGTGCCTCCCTGTAGCAGTATTTCTGCTATAGGGTGGCCGGGAAGCTGTTAAGTAAGTTTACAAACTTTATGATCATTCCGATTAGTAGAAGTAGGCTTGAAATAATTGAAATACAATGTGGAAATGAGTATATGATTTTGCATTTTGATACTCTTTAAGTGAGAAGGAGTATACTGATGTTCATAACATATTCATACATACAGTATAATAACATGATTAACACATATTCTATCACCTACAAAGAAACAGATGCCAGAAGCTTTTTGCTTTTACTAGTATTTGGTCTCCCATGAATGGTAAAAATAGGCAGATCTGTGGGGCATTTACATACCTATTAGATTAAAAAAATCTGGTCATCGTGAACATTTAAAGCATGAATACACTGCATCTTTGCACCACAAAGCAAAAATGCTATTTAAGTCATTTTTATTATTCAAAGCAACCCCCCCATGCATCCATGTCTCCATGTTTTTTTTTTTTGCTGAGAAGAAATCCCTTTGAAAAACATCCCCTAGCATTTCTGGCAGTGGCCATCTTGAGTAAGGTCAGATAATTCCTGTTTCCTTCACTTCCTGGAATCCATCTTCCCTTAGTTCAGGTACACAAGCAGGAGGGTATGCTTAGCTGAGAAAACCCCTCTTCACCCTCCAGAAGACTCCTGGAATGTATGACATTATTTGCCTGGGCAAGAAATCAGGGAGTAAGGCTCCGTTCACATATATGAACTTTGCGTTTTATGCTTTCTCCAGTGCTTTCTGCCGTTTGTTTTGCGTTTTTCACATGTGTTTTTGATGCATTTTTACCGCTTTTTTCAGCTTTTTTTTTTTTTATTTTTAAAGTGGAATTTGTTTTTGGTTGGCAGAATAAAAATGCAAAACGCAGCAAAAAACACACTATAATGCATTTCAGCAGATTCTTCATTGAACTCTATTATAGCAAAAACTCTGCTTTTTTGCTTTTCCAAAAGTCCCTGACCCTTTCCAAAAACGCAGCAGCTCAAAAAAGCATAGATGTGAACATGTTCCATAGGAAACCATGTTAAATAGACTTCAGTGCGTTTCTGCAAAAAGCACTAAAAAACACATTGGTTTGAACGGGTCTTACTGGAGAAACAGAAAAGAAATAGTTTAAAATAAGTAAATATGTGATATGTTCCTATTTATTAATGCTAGCAGCATAAGGATTGAAAATAGTCAGTGTTGATTGAAAGAGTGAAGCTCTGCTTAAAGTTAGGAAACATACCTGTTTTTTATTATCCAGTAGTCTAAGTCCTCACCCGACTTTTCATCATATTCTGTGCCATATCCTACTATAATGACTGCATGAGATGGAGTTTCAGTACAGCTTCCAGTAAAAATACCTGATATAAATGTAAGGAGTAAGAGAAAAATCAGTGATTCCACTCTATTCTTAATTAAAGCATTCTTAAAACAACAGAACAAAGGCAGGCATTGGGTTCTAGCTTTATTCCTACAGAAGTGTTCTGTGCAATGACATGTACACCAAGTGCTCAGCACAAGTCTCTTCAAGGCTCTGCAGGACTATTCTTTACTAAAGCATGAATAGACTTTAACCACTTGCCCTCCTGAGGATTCCCCCCCCCGTTCCTGACCTGGCTATTTTTTGTGTTATGGCACTGCATTACTTTAACTGACAATTGCACAGTCATGCAATGCTGCACCCAAATGAAATGTATGTCTTTTTTTCCCACGCATTGAGCTTTCTTTCGGTGGTATTTGATCGCCTATTTGCGCTATAAAAAAAAAGACCGACAATTTTAAGAAAAAAAACAATAATTTTTACTTCTTGCTATTAACCTCTTGCCGCCCGGGCCAATGGCCATTTGGCGGCTTGCAAAATCCCTCCGCCCATATGGCGTCCTCCCGGGCATGCGCAGTTTGCGCGCCTGCAGAGCCGCGCAGCGGTGCAATCTGTCACCGGCTGTGTACCTCGGTCATGGCCGATGACAGATCTGAGTACCGGCCCTGTTGCCGGTACCATGTGACCTGCTGTGACCAATCACAGCAGGTAACATGACAGTTGTATACAATGGATGGCTTTATTCACGCCATCCAATGTATACTAGTGTGTCTAGCTGTGAATGGTCACAGCGATCACATGCATAAGCTGGGCCAATCACAGCCCAGCTGTGTCATGTGATTAGCCGTGGCCAAATCACAGCTAAGCACAAAAAAAAAAAAACCCTGAATGAATCAATGTCATTCAGGTAAATGCTTGCTTATAGCAAAGTAATTCTTTGCTATCTCCTAGATTGTAAGCTCGAAAGAGCGGGGCCCTTGAACCCCTCGTGTATCACATTGTATTGGTATTGTTCTGTCACATGTTCTGTCCCCTTTGTAATGTACAGCGCTGAGCGAACTATTGGCGCTTTATAAATACTGTATATAATAATAATAATAAGCAATTTGTGTGCCCAAGCCAACAGGGAGGAGGACTATTAGAAAACAAAACAGTTTGGTAAAAAAAAAAGCACTGACACTGTCCAATGGCACTGGGCAGGAAAAGGTTAACATGAGGGTCTATAAAAGGGTTAACTGTGTGCTGGGAGTGTTTTACTATGGGGTGGTGTCCGTGCGCTTCACTGTAAGCACACTGCTTTGGATAGCTGTGCTGTGCACAGCCATTAAGCAGTGTGCATGAGCCGACAGGGAGGAGAACTGTATTGTTTACATACAGTTCTCCCTGTAAGAGATTCTCAGCAATCACCAGGCGCCGGTGAGTGATCATCAGCTGGGACCTGGTGATTGACAGCCGCGGGCGCAAAAGGCTGTATGGGTAGGGTACAGTGGATATAAAAAGTCTACACACCCCTGTTAAAATGTCAGGTTTCTGTGATGTAAAAAAATGAGACAAAGATAAATAATTTAAGAACGTTTTCCACTTCTAATGTGACCTATAAACTGTGCAACTCAATTGAAAAACAAACTGAAATCTTTGGGGGGGGGGACAAATAAACATAAAAAACTAAAATAATGTGGTTGGGTTTGAGTTAGAGGGGTCAAATTTATGTCATATTTATGTCAGGGTTGAGGTCAGTTCCCTGAAATCTGCTCTAGAAACTTGGAGAAGGTTCTAGAAGTAGTGGGTGGGGGTGAGGAGGGGCTGGCCTGCACACTTAGAGGACTCTGGCCAATCCCCAAGCAGGAGGCTTGGCGTGGGGCCAGGGCATCCTTTAAGTGTGGGACAGCCTGCTCAGCAGCAGGATAGTTTAGGTGGACGATGGACTGAGAGGCTGAGATGCAGGAGCCTAGGAGGGGGCCCAGTGGGAAGAGGCCTACCTTCAGAATGCTGTTGTCAGGAACGATCTCTGAAGGAGGAACTGCAGGACTGCTGGGGGCCTTAATCTTAAGAGAGACCGCCAATAATCTGAATGATGCCACAGATCAAGCGAGTGAGTCCCATACTCAAGCCATTCAAGTTGTCACTGACATTCCTCAACCCAGCCATTCTCTATCTAGGTACAGATACTGTTCACAAGTCTATCCATTAAATACATGTGCCTCTACTATGGGGGCTTTTAAAATTTGTAGAGATAGGAACTACAGAATACTGGGGTGCCATGACGAGGCACTGTGGCTTACATATGTATTTGCAAATGTGTACTAACTAAACTCCCGTTTTTAACGCATACTGCTAGACAGGTAATTTGGTTTGTTTGCTGGCTGACAAGTGTGAACTGGAAATTCTTCTTTTTGTTTTTGTTTTTTGTTGTTTGACATGTGTCACCCATCCACGTGCTCCTTGCTGTGAAGGCCAGTTATAGACTGGGGCAGTGGCCGTGTTTTGTACTGACACTGTTCACAAGTTGCACAGGTTGAGGCCTATTAGTAAACACATCATCAGCATAATCCAGTCACAAGAGCCTGCTGCAGTGTCCGCCTTCTGCAGGCCAAGCCACTCCGCTGTTTCCCTTGCAATAGGCCCACATTCATAAAGGGACACTTTTCACTGTTGCCATTTGCTACTGTGGCCTAAAGAGGAATTAACCCTGACTACCAAGTGCTTCTGCCTACCCCTTGAATCCCCAGTTTAAAATCTGCATCTCATCTTGTATGTTAAAGGGGTGCTGGACAAATGGAATACCACTTAAAGTGTTACTAACCCACAACAGTAAAACCAGTCTGTATATGCAGTAAAGCATGCTTGTTATACTTGCTGCGGGACCTAAGGGGTTACTCCTCTATATTGTGTAAAAAGGCCATTTGATCCTGTTTTCTCTGCCCCTCCTCTTGTTCAGATGTCCACCTGATAAGACACACTGAACCCGTAACCACATGCACATGCTCAGTTTAGTGTGTATTGCTAGAGAGGGTTTTTTTTTTTGCTTGGGAGAGTGCATGTGATCAGCATAGGGCCAATCAGCACTGTCCAGACAGAGGGTCAGGGGTTTCACATTCTCCTAGAGCAGAAAGAAAACCCCTCCTACAAGCTTTAACCAGTGCTCAGCTGAAGTCACAAGACTGCTCTAACTGCTGATGAGAAAAGGTATTTAGCAGTTTATATTTACTTATTTATGTTTTGTGTACTGTGGGAGACCAGATATAGTGAATGCAGGGTCCTGGGTTTAGAAACACTTTAAGTTTTTTTAAATATTGTCAATTATGAATAGTACTTTAGCAAATATATCCATTGTATTTTAAAAATGATTATCCACCCCTTTCACATTACCAAACTAAAACATGTCCTTGTACAATGTACCCAATCAGATAACTTTATTATAATTCTAGTTGTGACAGCGCCTCTTGTAGATCACTGACCATTTCCTTTTTACGGTGATGCTATCATAACCATATCATTGCACGCAGTTCTATGAGAAACTGCCAAAAGGGCTGATTGTGCTGGATGGTATGAAGCATTACTCAAAGATAATCTTACAATATTATCAGTTTTGCTCTATCTCATGAAGGTTTCTGATTCTTTATAATGCAATGGCCGTTACTATGTATTTCTCATGGTAAACTGTTTTTCTTTCTTATGAACAACCATTGGTAATGCGGTTCAATGCAGGGTCCTGGGTTTGGTAACACTTTAAAGGGGTAGTCCCTGTTCTTTGCATCAATCCTTTAACCACTTCAAGTCTGGACACTTTCACCCCTTCCAGTCCAGGCCAATTTTCAGTTTTCAGCACTATTACAATTTGAGTGACAATTATTCAGTCATGCAACACTGTACCCATATGAAATTTTTATCCTTTTTTTGAGACAGATAGAGCTTTCTTTTCATGATATTGGATCAACACTGGGTTTTTTAATTTTTTGCTATATAAATAAAAAATATACAAATAATATATACATTTTTTAATAAAAATCATTTTTTGCTTAGTTTTTGTTATAAAATTTAGCAAATAGACAATTTTTCTTCATAAATTTAGGCCAAAATGTATTCTGCTACATTTTTGGGGTAAAAATAAAAAAAAAAACAGTTTATAATATTTAGTTTGTGTGAAAGCTATAAAGTCTACAAACTATGGGATATATATTTGAAAATTGATCAGTTGAGATCCTAAAATGTCGGACGCTGGTATGGCATATGACAGTGTTCAGGACGCTGGTATGGGGTATGGCAGTGATCAGGACGCTGGTATGGGGTATGGCAGTGATCAGGACATTAGCGTGAGGTATGGTGGTGATCAGAACGCTGGTATGGTAGGAGCCAGGACGCCGTTATGGGGTATGGAGTTGATCATGGAGTTGGCCCCAGCATCAGTGAGAATAAACACTACCTCGGTGTTGGTGGTCAGTAGGAGAAGGAGTAGTGTCCTATCATTAATGTAAGTGGCAGGAATTATGCCTCACTGTTGGTGTTGGTGTCTGTGAGAGGAATAGTGCCTCATATCATTAGGAGGAATAGTGCCCCAAGGGCTGGGTAAAGACTAGCAAAATGCTGCATCCGGCCCTTGGGCCACAGTTTAGGGACCACTTCTAAAAATAGAACAAATTATTAAAGAGAAGTTCCAGCTCCCCCTCCCAAAAATTAAAATTCAGCAGCTACAAATACTGTAGCTGCAGACTTTTAATTTTAGGGCACTTACCTGTCCATGGATCCAGTATGAATTCTTCAATTTGCTGTCGGGTACTGGCACCGCCATCTTGACTAAGGGAAACTGGCATTGAAGCCTTGCGGCTTCACAGTTGGTTTCCTACTGCTCGTGCATGAATTGTGCTGCACTTTTTGAGTGGGCAGCAGTCTTCTAGGACCTGTGAAATGTCCCAGAGGACTGTGGGGGGAAGGAGGGGGCTGAACTTCTGGCTCAGTTCTCCATGGCGAACTGAGTCGGTAGTGACTGCGGATACCTGTCAAAACCAGGTACCCACTCCCTTCTCCCCCGCAAAAGATGCCAAATGTGGGGGAGGCAGATAAGCAGAGGTTCCACTTTTGGGTGGATTCCGCTTTAACAATCGTGACCCAAGTTCCTACATTCATGCACATAGGTATGCATTATTACTATTATTATACAGGATTTATATAGCGCCAACAGTTTGCGCAGTGCTTTACAAAATGAAGGTAGACATCACAGTTACAATACAATTTGGTACAAGAGGAAACAGAGGGCATGGATGCATTCACATCTGTGATAAATAGAATGCATGTGCTTAGTGACAAACTGTTGGCAGCCATAGTGGGTTTGAGTAGGACCTAAAATTTGTATAGTATCTACCAAGGTGTAATTATGCCTGTCTTCCATAAAAATCTTCCATAAACATGCATGATTTAGTCAACTAATGCAGTTATGTTTGTGCTAACGGAAGAAAATGAAGGCAGAGAACAAGGACTTCTCTGGGCTTAGCTCATGTATAACAATAGTGATCAGCCAGAAAACTCCATCCTGTCTCACTGCTTTAGCCAGAGGGTGTCTGCAGAGGTTGTAAACATACTGTATATATATATATATATATATACAATATTCAATCATAAGTCCTCATGCACACTTGACGTTTTTACAGCGGCTGTTTTTTGGGTTTTGACGCTTTATTCTACAGCTAGTAAACTCCCCAGCATGTTATCCTATGTGTCCATGCACACATACACTGTAATCAATGTTTTAATGATGAAAAACCAGGCAAAACGCGGTAAGACGTTAGACTTTTTTGTGCCAAAAAAATATTTTTTCCGGAAAAAAAACGCAAAAAAAAAACGCTAAAAACCACAAATGCGGAAAAACGCGGGAAAATGCTGCTAAACGTGAATGCAAAAACGCTAAAAAAACAAAAACGTTAGCTGTGTAACATGACTTTACACAGCTAACGTCACCAGCGTTATAAAAATGTGCAGTGTTCATGAGGAATAAGAGACCAGATCAGATCATATTCCTTTTATGTTTTTGACCTTGCTGTGTAGAGAGGATTACACATTCTGTTCTGAAGTATATTCTTTATTTTTGTGAATTGTGGCTTACCGGTTTTGTATAGCATAAAATCTTCACTTGCATCAATTCCAACTGAGATAGGGCCATCTAGTGCCAAAGATGAAGCCATGTTTTTTTCTTCAAGCAGAGTATAGAATTTGCTCACGTTAAATTGGATTGCATTGTCATCTTTTAACATGCAGGCGGATTGCTAAATTGGATGACATGGAAAATATAGGAAACAAAGTCATAATGTTTTGTGATCTCATTCCAAACATTTACAGGAAGAAAAAGTTTTTAACCTTGGAATGAATCCCACTTCCCTATGTCACAATGTACCTTTGTAAAGTCCTTTTACCAAAATACTTTTTTATTTCCACTCTGCCCTCTCTGTGTTTTGTGAATTTCCACATCAACTTCTTAAATGAAATTATACACAACACTGGTGGTTTGAAGGGCAACCAATGTTTTGCAGACCATAGCTGGATTCTTACTGCTGCATTCCTGGTTTCATTTCACAGAATGTGGTACTAATAACCAGACATATTAGTACCATAGAGACAAAAGTAAATAACCCCCTCCAAATCAAAATGCAAACTCAGCAAACTCTGCACTCCTGCGCTGGGGATGGACTCAGCAGAGGCTATGGTAACAATTCAGATATCCTGGAATATGCACTCCTTGCTGCCCTCAACGGACCGGGGTAGTCCAAAGTCACTGGACACAAAAGAAAACAAAAAGAGGGCTCACCGGCCTAGTGCATTATCGTAAAAAAATATTTATTAAAAGTATAAAAAGTAGGTATCATACTCACAATGGACATATAAAACAAAGGCACATCACAATAAACAGCGGTGTCCAATCCATACTGCATCAAGTCCAAAACAATGGAACCCTGGACTTCCAACCGGCTAACGCGTTTCGAGGACTCAACCTCTTCCTCAGAGCCAACCTCTTCTAAGGAAGAGGCTGAGTCTTCAAAACGCGTTAGCCAGTTGGAAGTCTAGGGTTCCCTTGTTTTGGACTTAGATGCTGTAGATTGGACACCTCTGTTTATTGTGATGTGCCTTTGTTTTATATGTCCATTGTGAGTATGATACTTACTTTTTATCCTTTTAATAAATATTTTATACGATAATACACTAGGCCGGTGCGCCCTCTTTTTGTTTTCTTTTGTATCCACCAACTCCCTCCAAATGCCTCTCCTGCCTGCAATATCAGATGTGACCAATAGATGGAGCCATTAATAATTTTTTAATTTTACAGAAACTAGAGACTGTTTAGATAAGAGTTAATAATAATTCCCATGATTCTGAGAGAAAGAGATGCATCTTAAAAGCTCAGACTTCATCTTAGAAACTGGGCAGGAGCCAGTTATCAGAGCACATGTTGGCCTTAAACTCGCATCCATTTGTGTCCCCTAAAGGCAGCATTGCTGGTGAGAATCAATTATTGCCATCTATAGCCTAACTATTCATTGTGTTTTCTGTATATTCTTACATTGATTGTATGTGTTTGTCATCGTTTTTTTCCTAAGTTTCAATCACCCTGTTTTGTTAATAAAGCTTCAAGATTACATTCAGTCAGGCTTATTGCAGATTAGGAGGGTTTAACTATATGTTGAGTTACACAAAGGGAAACGTAGTGAGGACAGAACACCTAGAACCCACCATATCTATTCATGAGATTTAAAATACAGCCTGCTTGTGAAGTGTTTAGTCATACAAGACACAACTTTGGGGCAAAAACAATCATATTAACATCTTGACACTGATGTCACACAAATATGAGGCCTCACAGAACTGGGCTTTTTTTGTGGGGTATTTGCATACCTGTCTTTGTGCTGGGAGCATGCAACACAGCGCGCTTCCAGCGCAAAGACTTGGGGTGTCACTGAGAGCCCCAGGTCATGTTCTAACTTCTGAGTCCGGGTCACATGATCGCTGTGATATCCTCTGATTGGCTATTACAGTGATCAGTCACTGTGAAGCCCGCCCCCAGTGTTTTTTTTTTCTCTGAATAGAGGAGAGAGATACATTGCACCTCTCCCTCTCCTTGCAGAGGAAAAATAAATAAATATTAAAAAATAAAATAAAAAATACCTAGATCAAGGTTTGATCTAGTTCAGTGCCAGGTTTTGTGTTTGGATCAAGGTCAGGGTCAAAGGTTAGTATCAAAGGTCAGGATTTTTTTTTAATTGGTATCAGTGTCAGTGTGTTTTAGGTAAAAAAAATAAAATGCAAAATGCGCACTATTGTTTCTGGGCTGTAGTACAGGTGCAAACAACAAATACCATACACATATATGGTATCGCTGCGATCGTTAAAGTTTATTTTGGGCTGTTCTTTGGTGGTAGGTTATGGTAGTAACAAGAAACACACAGCTAAATTAAAAAAAAATATTTTTTGTACTATTTTGGGCCAGTTTTTCTTTGATAATGAAAAAAACCAGGAGATATTCATTACTATTTACCACCAAATAAAAGTCCAATTTGCCCTGAAAAAAAGGCGGTATAATTCACCTGGATGTACAAAGTAGTTGTGATGATATGTACGGTTTGTACAAGTTGTAAAATTTTACTTAGGCTTTAAGATTTGTTTTACCCTGAAGGGGTTAAAGGCTCCTACCTTTTCACGATATTCATAGTCTTTAGCCCTCATGAGACCATGATGTGTAATATAGTCCAAGGCCTTGGCTGGAATTCCTCCACAGCAACCTTCATTTGATGAGTCACAGTCCACAAACTGCTGCTCACTTAGTTCAACAAGCTCTCCTGATTTCAGACAGTTTTGGGTCTCAAGCATACCCACCTATACCCCACACAATAGGAAATGATAATATTAAAAGTTACTTTTGAAACTGTTCCTTTACAATAATGAACTTTAAGAAAAGTACAAAGGCAGAACAAAATTTACACAGTTAGTTGCTTTCTTACATACTATAGGCATAATTTGCTATTGTGACATAAACAGGATTGCTTATCAAAATATAATGACACAAGGACACATCACCAAGCTGCAACTCAATACCCACATCCCTATGTAGACCTATAACAAGAGGGAAATATAGAAGTTGGGACTAAAAAAGATGACTACTTGTAAAATCTGTATGCAAAAAAACGTTTGTATAAAATCATAATTTTTATTACACAACATCACAGCCATAAGGTATATTGCTTATGGGAACACACAATGGTACACCTCCAGGACTCAACCCCACAGTCTCCTTTGCTCAGAAACATGTTCAAAACTGATTCTTGAACTTGCAATAATTCTTCTATCTGTATTAGTAAGGTCTGGTACAGGGGCGGACTAACTATTTGGAAACTCGGGCACTGCCCGAGGGCCCGGGGTCAGTAGGGGGCCCCATGAGATGCCCCTGGTACCTTTTTCATAGGCTTTTTTGAGTTTGGGCAAGGACACAAGGGCCCCATGATCCTCTATTGCCCGGGGGCCCCATGAGTTGTCAGTCCGCCCCTGGTCCGGTAGGGAGGCTGTAACTCTACATGGATCTTGGATCAAACTAATTTCTATAGGAAAAAGGAAGTGTATCTATACATTGTATATTATGTATAATAAATAATTAAGAGGCAATAACAATTTTACAGCATCAATCACCCAGCTGAAACATCTAGTACCTGGATGTTTTCAAATCACAAATTAAAGTGGAACTTTAGCCAGAAAATTAGAACTTCATGCTGACCCCTTTTGCAGGTATAGCTATGTAAAACATTAAAAATAAGTGCCTATACTGTTTAAAATCCAGTTATACACTGTCTCACCCTGTTCTACACATGCTCAGTTGCTCTTTTTTTCAGCACTGTGTCAATAATGTAGAGGCCTATCTGCTGACAGCTTCAAGATTTACTGCTGCTCAGGGCTCTGGGCTTCATCAAAATGGCGACCTCTGAAAAGAAGAAGCAGGAACAACACTGGAGGCAATTTACAGCACACACAAATTTTGGTAGCATAATTATTAATGTGAAATGTATGTTCCTTGCTAAAGAACATTTTGATCTGGTTGTTATGGCTAAAGTGTTAAATGTGGGTAACTCAGGGATATACTCTCACTTTCAACATGGTATTATAGTAGGAATTAGAAGTTGTCTCTGTTTAGGTTTGGCCATTAGCAGTAGGTGCTCCATCTTTGGTACCCTGTGTCTCCCTTTCTTCCCATGGGCTCCACTCAGCAGGGTATTTATGGTTTAATGTCCAAGACTATATCCAGTTCATATGCACAGTGTTATTTATATGTAAGTGTTACCAGAGATTCTGGATGTTTCTGACTGGTGATGGCTTGTCACCAGGGGCGGACTGACAACTGATGGGGCCCCGGGCAATAGTGGATCATGGGGCCCCTGGGTCCTTGCCCAAACTCAAAAAAAGCCTATGAAAAAGGTACCAGGGGCATCTTATGGGGCCCCCTACTGACCCCGGGCCCTCGGGCAGTGCCCGAGTTTCCAAATGGTCAGTCCGCCCCTGCTTGTCACTTTATTATGGGTAAAGTATTTCAATCAGTGATATATTATATATTACATACAGTTCATAAATACACCTCTTTTTTCTCAGCAAATGGACTTTGATCTAAGAAATGTGTAGAGTGCTATCTTCTTCAATATATCCCCTATGTGCTCTCCTCAATCGCTGCCTGAGTTGCCCTTTGATGGTTCCATGTGCCCTTTTTCCACCTATAGTCATTCTCCAAGTTGCTAGTGTGCTTACGCTGATATGCTATGGAAGTGCTTACGAGATCATCATTTACTCATATGATTTCAATTTTTACTATATCACTGGTGGATGTCTATAATTGCTGTACTGGATACTGGTGCTGTTGCATCACTATGCATCGTTTTGTGCTGTCTCACTGTTTTTTGTAGCTACTGTTTTGTGTACATTGAAAAGCAATAAGCCTGGGTTCACACTGATGCGGTGCGGAATTCGCAGAGCAAAAATTAGGAGTGCAGCACTAATTAGTATCTAATGGAACCGTAATACAATATATACTCAATCCCCAAAATAAATCCAAGATACTCAATACATATACAGTGTCATGCATGTATTCCCTTATGGGGAATATCTCGTGCAAAAACGTGAAAATAAAGTAATATATACTATAATAACATATATACTAATAATAAACAGTGCCACACAAAAAGTGCACAAAGGAATGAACGATAATTCGAATACGAGAAAAGTCCAAAGTTAATAATAATAATACTGATGATGCTGTGCTTAATGATGAACTTCACACTCCACTCTTCATGCAAAATAATGTGCAGTGTACGTGATTCACACGTGACAATCCTTAACAGCCAAAATGCCCCCTTAAGGATGTTAAGGATTGTCACGTGTGAATCACGTACACTGCACATTATTTTGCATGAAGAGTGGAGTGTGAAGTTCATCATTAAGCACAGCATCATCAGTATTATTATTATTAACTTTGGACTTTTCTCGTATTTGAATTATCGTTCATTCCTTTGTGCACTTTTTGTGTGGCACTGTTTATTATTAGTATATATGTTATTATAGTATATATTACTTTATTTTCACGTTTTTGCACGAGATATTCCCCATAAGGGAATACATGCATGGCACTGTATATGTATTGAGTATCTTGGATTTATTTTGGGGATTGAGTATATATTGTATTACGGTTCCATTAGATACTAATTAGCGCTGCACTCCTAATTTTTTGCTCTGTTTATTCACCTATTTTGGGTATAAGCTTAGTGTCAGCAGCTTATGGTTATAGGGTAGGAGTCCTTGTGAGCGCAGGAGGTTTTTTGTAATTAGCAGAATTCGCTGAGTTTTCAGTGTGAATTCCGCACCGCACCAAAATTGCACCCCGTTCATGCAAACCACTGTGGGTTTGTATGTTAAGTAAACAACACCCTGAAAGCGGTCTGCAAAATGCAGTGCGATTTGCAGAATCGGATCACATAGGTGTGAATACCTATGCGATCCGATTCTAGTGCGGACCCAAAAAAGGGTCCTGTACGTTTTTGGTTCGGGTGCAGTGTGAATAGAGCCATAAAAAATTGCATGTGATTTGTACAGGAATGTGGTTCGGTTCCTGTGTGAATCACATGCGATATACCGCACCGCACATATGTGAACCCAGGCTTAAACAGAAGTTACAGCCTTCCCTGTTGGACCATTGGACCTTAGTAATATAGATAGATGGACTATTGCACATTAAGGCCCCTTGCACATGGAGTATCTAGCCCCTGTGAATGCAATCCTGGCATTTTTTGCATACCCCATTATCTGCAGCCTGCCCAAGTCAACTGCATGTATTCTGCGTTCTGGCTTTCGTCTTTTAATGCATAGGTCCCTAAAGTGTTTTTCCGTAAGGATGTTGCCAGTATTTATCTTGTCTACCATTAAAGCCACAATTTCTATATTTCTTTCTTGTTATAAACGTTACAGTTGATGTTGCTGAACTTACTTTCTGAAAATGTTAATTGACCTGCTGACCTATGGCTTCAATACTTTTAATGAGTCATTAATCCAGAACAAGTATACAGATCAATTTTCAACAAATCAGGAGTTTTTTTCTGCATACTGTTCTGGTTTGGACACTCAAAATTATGAAGAGTGAGAAAAAAATCTAGGCAGTCAGCATTTTCAAAAAGTCAGCAGTAGCAGATTCTATATTTTTCACATGACATATTTATTTGACAGACGTAAAGCGATACTAAGCGTTAATTTTCTTTTTTTAATGTTTTTTTTTTTTAAATAAACTTATCTATACTTACCTGCTCTGTGTAGTGGTTTTGCACAGAGCAACCTGTATCCTCCTCTTCTTGGGTCCCCCGCAGACTCTCCTGGCTCCTTCTTTCTGTCGGGTGCCCCCACAGCAAGCAGCTTGCTATGGGGGCACCCGCTGCTCCATGTGTTCATTCACACATGGAGCCGCAGCTTGGCCCCCCACCCCCCTCTCTCTCTCCCCATTGGCTGACTGGCTGTGATTGACAACAGCGGGAGCCAATGGCTCCCACTTTGTATAATAAAAACCTCCTGCGCTCAAAAGTGAATGTAGCTCGTAAAGGATAAAGCTGCTAACACCTGCACCTTATTACCTGGAAGTGAAAATTCTAAATATATACAGAGACATGGTGTAGCGCTCTAATTACCAAATATATAAATATAATAGAATAATAATAATAAATAGTGATCACATCCCCTATGGGGTATCCAAGTGAAAAACAAACAAATAACACAGTGAATATATAATATAAACCAATGGTCTCAAAATAGACCTTTTGTGATCCAACTATACACAATAAAGTGCTGAATGTCCCAAATCTCAATTGAGATTAGTGATAAAAGACTTGATAATAAAAAAAATAAATAAATAGTGACACACACATGTGATCCCAGCACTGAGGGATAGGTATATCAATATTGGTGAAAAAAGTGCTCAGTGCTAAAAAACACTCCAAACAACGTATACAAATACAATACTGCTAATAAACTCACATCCAAAGCCCAATAATAATGTAATAGAAAATGATCATATAAATCCCCTATATAAAATATTGCAATACAAGTTGTTCAAAACCAAAGTCCAACATATGTGACACCAGTGTTCCGCAAAGGTTAAAACATGCAGGTGATCCTGTGCATCGCACCCTTTGGTGATGCATCCACATATAACTAAATTGGCTCCTCACCTCCTTACCATGACCCTAGAAGGACCTACTAGCTTTTGGGATCACTCCTGGACCCTCCAAGAACGGATTCCTCTTAATGGTATCCTCCAATGCAGACAAAACCTCACATCAGATACATGCCAATAAGCCTTCCAGGTCAGGATCAGCTCCAAAATCCCCTTCGGCTCTAATTTAGTATAACCAGCTCCCACAGGATCCATCTTGGCTCGCTGTCAAATCACAGGCTGCTTTCGGTTTTGTTTTGGAATTTTGGATCAGTATATAACAGACTGCTTCACCTGCATGCTTTCACTTATGAGCATCATCCCTGCTGACCACTCACCAGCTTGCTGGTGAGTTGGATCTGGTGAGAATAGGTCTATTTTTGAGACCATTGGTTTTATATTATAATGGCTCCCACTTGCAGTCTCAACCAATGAGGAGGCAGAGACCCGGGACAGCCAAGGCTGTCGTGCAGATCGCTGGATCTTGATGGGACTCAGGTAAGTATTGAGGGGGCTGGGGGCACTGCTGCACATAGAAGGTTTTTTACCTTCAAGCATAGAATGCATGAAGGTAAAAAACTTTGAGCCGTTACAACCACTTTAAGAGTAAAACATACACAAGCTGACTGACAAACGGCACGAAATCCAGTTCTAAATGCCTCTAAGTTTAGGTCTACTGAGCATGACAGAAAACTCAATGGTAGCTGCAGGCACTGACTTTAAGGATAAGTGCACTTTCAAAGTTCTTTTGCTCCCCCTCCCTGACCTTAATGCCGCTCCTCTCTCCCCAAATGCATTCTTACAATAATCGTAACCAGAGAGTAATTTTTGTAACTTGAATGTTCACTAGTTCGCCCCAATAATGCCTTAGCAGGCTTAAAGTGGTTGTAAACTTCACACATGAAATATGAACAAAGCATATCCCTCTATAGTGTGTAGGTGTCTCAATCCAGAGCACTAAGTGCCATTTCTGTCTGCTGCTTTGTTCCTCTGCTATAAGCATGAGTCACTTCTGATAAGTTTTCCTGACACCAAAAGAAAAAAGGTGACAGAGGAGGGATCTCCAGCAGATTAACAGGCCTCTGTGTGCTGTGTAAAGGGGGTGTGTCTCTACCCCTCCAATCAGCTCTCAGAGCTCAACTCGCTGAGTAACTTCAGCTTTCTGCCCCCTGCTTTTCAGAGCTGAGAGATCCTGTGTAAATTCTGCACTTTCAATGGATGTAGAGGAGAGATGGCTCTCCTCTACATCCATTGAAAGTGCAGAATTTACACAGGATCTCTCAGCTCTGAAAAGCAGGGGGCAGAAAGCTGAAGTTACACTCAGCGAGTTCTAAGCTTCTAATTTCAGCTTGCTCAATTAAAGAAAAAGCTGGAAGCCGATTGGTTTATATGCAGAGCTGCACCAGATTTTGCATTCTCCAGTTTTAGTAAATCAACCCCTAAGCCCTGATTCACACTGATGTGGTGCGGAATTTACAGCGTTTTCTGTGCAAATTCTGCACCGCTTCAGAATTGCACCCTATTCATGTGAACTGATGCGGGTGTGTATGTTAAGTTAACAACACCCAGAAAGCGGTCCGCAAAATGCAGTGTGATGTGAAGAATCGGATCGCATAGGTTTGAATACCTATGTGATCCGATGCTAGTGTGGACCCAAAAAAGGATCCTGCATGTATGGCTCCAATTGCACTGCAAACAAATCGCATGTGATTTGTACAGGAATGTGGTGCGGTTCCTGTGCGAATCAAATGCTGTATATGGAGCCGCACATATGTGAACCCAGGCAAAATGTCATTTCTCTCTGCTGACTAATTCCTCTATTATCATGTGTCACTTCGTTACACCAAGACGTAAAAAAGTGACAGGGGATGGTGCTCCAGGACACAGCCTGTGATTGACAGCCTCAGTTCTGTTCCTGCATGTTGTGTGAGGGAGTTTGGTGTTCCTTTCCTCCAATCAGCTATCAGAGCTCTTGTACAGTCTGTAACTGCAGCTCCACACCCCCTACATTTTGAGCCTATGAAAAATCCTTTTACAAGGATGTACAGGACAAACGCTACAGATAAACAGGTACAACGTATGTAGGAGGATTTGTTTCATCCCTGCATATCATCTGAGGCCAGTCACTTCACTGGCTAAAGGTAAGGGTTTACAATCACTTTAACAGATCAGCACAACACTTTTCACAGTTTTGCATTTTTCTAACGCTAACTTTCTTTGCATTCAGTTTTTAACATCTCAGGGCCACAAAGGAAGTTAGTAATGGAGTAAAGTAATGGCAAGCCTGAAGAGGGATCAAAAAGCTTTATAACATCTAGCAGTTGTAACTGGCTGCAGCTCCCACTCATAGGCCAAAAAATGTAACATATACGTGTGAGAACCGATTCTGAACACAGAGGAGATTTTACTAAAACTGGAGAGTGTAAAATCGGGTGCAACTTTGCATTGAAGCCAATCAGCTTCCAGGTTTTATTGCCAAAGCTAAATTAAACAAGCTGAAGTTGGAAGCTGATTGGCTTCCGTGCACAGCTGCACCAGATTCTGCATTCACCAGTTTTAGTAAATGTCCCCCAGACTGTACGTGTGTATCTGTTCATTGGGTTGCTGTAAGGCCTACAGTAGTAGGAAATTATTTCATTACCGTAGCAAATGCCCAGCAGGATCCACATAATCCTTGATTTTTTACTCGGGTAACACATTTTGAGTCTCTCCAGTCAACCGTTGATGGCAGATCTCCGTTTTCTGAATAAGTCTTCAAAGGAATATCTGACTTCAAGCTGCTTATTTTTTTATTAGAAATACAGCTTCGGGTGCTCCGCTCCTCTGTTGTCTAAAGAGAAACAATAAAAGAATTTTAGATCTACAACTGGTGTTTAACCACTTCCAGTCCGGACACTTTTACCCCCTTCCTGAACAGGGCAATTTTCAGCTTTCAGCGCTATCACACTTTGAATGACAATTGCACAGTCATGCAACACTGTACCCAAATTAATTTTTTACCATTTTTTTGAGACAGATAAAGCTTTATTTTGGTGGTATTTATTCACCCGCTGGGATTTTTATTTTTTTTGCTATGTGAATGAAAAAGTCCAAAAATTTTGAACAAAAGTGTTTTTTTTAATAAAATTTTGCAAATAAATAATATTTCATCATAAATCTTTGCCAAAATTTATTCCGTTGTCTTTTTAGTAAAAAAAAAAAAAAAAATTAGTTTATAACCAAAAATTATAATTTTTAAACTTTTCTTTTTACATTTTTATTTTTTTTATTTTTTTATATTATTATTATTTTTTTTATTTTTTATTTTTTTACATACTGTCACCCTAGCAGTACAGTGTCACCATGGTGACACTGTACTACTTGTGAGGGGGGGGGTGATGAAGATTTTTTTTTTTTTTTTTTACACTGATTGCTTTTACACCCATATAGGATGTAAAAGCAATCATTTCTCTTTCTCTCTGTATGCATTCCTGCACTCATTGAGAAGTATTGAGTGAGCTGTGATTTGTCACAGCTTGTCACATGGTACAAGGCTGTTGTGAATAGCCTTGTACCATGTGACCTCTGTGATCATTCACAGATTTCACACGTAGTAAGCAGTGATGTCAGAAGTGACATCTTGCTTACTACTTTGCATGTGATCACTGATTGGCCAATCAGTGATCACATGATCGGGACCTCGTACAGAGGTCCCATCCGACGATCGGTGTTTCACTGTGTCCGGAGGACACAGCGGGCACCGGATCGCGGTGCTGCGCGCTCCCAGGGAGCGCGCACAAGCAGGGTGCGGGGAGGCCGTTCATAAACGGCCACCCGACCCTGCAGTGCCACCGTCCGGCCGTTTACATACAACGGCCGGTCGGGAAGTGGTTAAAGCGCTAATAAACCCAAAACCAAAAATGTAATATATTGCAGCTAACCAATCATTGGATGTGATGGCTGCATTTGTTTTCTTTTAGGTTTTCCCCCCCTCTATTTTCACCTGGTGATCTGGCCATTAACATACTTCCTGCGTTAGAGTGCCTCCACTCAGGATGAAGAACCCTGCACAATGAGAGAGAGCAGCAGTGGCTGGTCTTTATTACAGGAAGCTCCTGCACAGAGGCAAATGAGTAGGATCTTGCTGGACAGATCCATAAAGAAATACACAAAATCCACCATGATTCATGTGACAACACGCAGAATCCTAAGTCTTGTTAATTAGGAATTTGTTGTCTAAAATGTAGCTTTTCTCCTAAGACTTTCATTGGGGTGTATTCATTTTTGCAACATGGTCTTCATTGAATTTGATGGAAAAATACTTTTTTGTGTGTGCAAATGAACAAATCTTGTTTGCAATCAATGGCCTAGACTTGTGGGAGTATTTTGTAGTATAGTGTCCCATAGAAAATGTTGATTCTGAAAGAAAAGTAAAGGTTTTCTGACAAATCTGTTGGGGTGTAGTCACTTATGCCGAGCACTGTATATACAAATATATAACACTCCCAATAGTCAATTTACCAGAATCAGAAGGAACTATGATTTAGATTCAGATTTTTTGATCAGACCAATATTTTTGTGGACAGATTTTTGGAGAAAGGATATAAGAAAGATTTGCTAGACCAGGGCTTAAAATTTCAAGTCCTGAGCTACTAGCCAGGCCTTATGCAGGCCATAGACAGGTCATTTATCGGCCGCATTTTCGTCCGCACGAAAAATCGGCCGATATTCACGCCGTTAGTAGGGCCGGCCCGTTGGCTGTTTTTCGCGGATCTTCTTGTTTATTTTTATTGGTCATGCTGGAAAATCCACGAAAAACGGCAATTTTTCGTGGACATGGGTGGCAGCATCGGCAATGATCGATTTTTTGTTTATTGGCCAACAATTCGGCCGATAAACGGCCCGTCAATGGCCTGCATTAGAGTTACTCGCCAACAACAAACACACACAAACAGACACCTGTACACACACACAGACATGTACATACACACACACACAGAAACATGTACAAACACGCACAGAGACACATGTACACACACACATACAGACACATGTATACACACACAGGCACGTACAGACATGCATACACACAGATACATGTACATACACAGAAATACACACACACAGACACATGTACATACACACAGACACAGGTACATACATACACAGACACATGTACATACATACACAGACACATGTACGTACATACACACAAACACACACATGTACATGCACACACACAGACACATGTACATACACATAGAGACACATGTACACACACACATACATGTACATACACGCAGACACATGTACAGATACACACATGTACATACACACAGACATATGTAGAATTGTACAGGCACACACAAACACACACATGTACACACACACACACCCCCCCCCCCCATAGAACGTTGCAGTACTTCGTTGTTCACTCACAGATCTGGGTACTGCATTCTAGGGGGAGGCAGAGAGCACAGCACACACTCCTTGCTTTGCTTTCACTGCGCTCAGCTATTGAGCATTCTGACGGCTCCCATTGCCAATAATCTGGCCTGAGCTCTGAGCCTGCTCAGCAAGACGGCCCTGGGGGACACACTCGCCCCCACCATAATTTCCACTCGCCATTGGCGAGCAGGCGAGTGGAAATTTCCAGCCCTGTCCCAGACAATGCAAGGAAGAAGGATTTTGAGAATGATAGAAATCAACTTTTAAAGAGAAATAAAAGTGAGAATAATTTGGGTTGTAATTTCATAACAGATTTTAATACATCGTTTAAAGAAAAAGAAGGCATTATCTAATGACGGAGCCTAAACGTGGAAGTGTAACATAGTGGATGGTGGATATCAAACACAGAAAGGACATCAATTTTTTTTTGCATGGGACACTTAACTGAAGAAATTGAAATATTGATGATTTGAATGACTTTTTATGCTTATAACACTGGACACAATTTGCACTTTATATAGTGATATTTTGAAGTTCACATTACACTGCATATATGTATTCTAATTTTAATCGGTTTGGGTTATATAGTAACACAACTTGTGATAGTGCTGTTGGAATAATGTTTTTCAATATTTTGCATTTATGTTTGCCAAGATGTAGTAGAAGTTTATTCTTACCATATCTGCAAAATGATTCATCTCCATGCTGTATTTTACCAGGCCTTGATCATACTTTTGATTGTGGTTCTGCACCTTATGCCATGTTGCCTCCCAGGCCTGCCTCCGAAATGTTTCATCATATAAAGTTGGATAATTCTTTCCTAAAAGAATGTAATTAAAGAGCACTAATCAATTTAGGATTTCAACCATTTTAAAGCAAAACTATTGAATATAGTGTACTGTGCGCTTGTTGAATGACTCACTGTTTAAAGGGCAACTTCTTACTCGTTCTGCTGTTCAGACTTACAATCTTTGCTTTGCTGAAGAGCAACACTGGCTGAAAAATAAAGAATATTCTGCATCCAGTATGCTTTCTGCAATTTTGGATGCCTGGTCCTGCACTGCATGCTATGGTTCCATCCACCAACCCATGTGTCATTACTGTATCCTGTGCAGTGACATAGGGGCTGTGAGATTGGAACAACAGTTTGCAGAGGTAGAATAGGTATCTGACACTCTTGGTTGGATCCTAAAGATTTTTCAGCTGCCATAGTTCTGAAACAGAGCAAAGATCAGCGGCACAGGACATTTAAAAGTAATTCTAAATTAACGTTTTTTATAATAACAAACATGTTATACTTACCTGCTCGGTGCAATGGTTTTGCATATATAGTAAAAAAAATTTAAAAATCTAATTTCAGCATAAATTTAGGCCAAAATGTATTCTGCTACATGTCTTTGCTAAAAAGAATCCCAATACGTGTAAATTAATTATTTACATGAAAGTTATAGTGTTTACAAATGGCGGTATATATACTGGGATTTTTTTTTCACTAGTAATGGAGGCGATCAGCGACTTATAGTGGGACTGTGGTGGGCATTCTGACACTGGGGGGACTGACTTGGTGTCACTGACACCAATAGAGTGATCAGTGCTAATAAAAAGCACCCTTTGCTTCCTGACTCAAAGACATAACAGGCAGTGAGGGGAAATCCCCCATAGACAGTTTTTGGAAGAACAAGGATCTTTGGACCATTTGGACTTGTTTCAGTGACAACTGTAACATTTTGGCTTTCCAATGAGTTCCTGTCTTGATGGCACTGGTCGTCAGGACTAAAAGAGAGGGTGAAGGCCACCATTAGGGACACAGGAAGCAAACCTAACAGAGGTTCCAACCCTTCCCCACTATCCAAAATATCAACTAGATATAACTACGTTTCAAATTACCCTTCACAGACCTCCGACACTTTGTAAGTGTTCAGCCCTGGGAAGAGTTCTCTGCAGGTTTCAGGTAGCAGTTTTCATTATGCAGTGATGAGACCTATTAGACATAGCACTGCAGGCACTGACAGCTCGGGATTGTTGTATAAGAAGCTGTCCAAGTCCCACCTACATTGTCCAGTACTTAGCTGTGTTGTGTGGTGTATTCCACTACACTCTGAAAAAGCCAAGCACATGTGCACACATTGTGGACCCCTAGTTTGTAAGGTTCAATCAACTCCATAAGCAAGGCGAGGCGGCTACAGACTGGCTTTAGATGGAATCTTCCACAGCCATCAACAAAGGACCTTTAAAGTGATTGCAAAGGGAGACTTAAAAAAAAAAGGTTAACATGTGCAATGGTTTTGCACAGAGAAGCCCCGATGCTCCTCTTCTCAGGTACCCCACTGGTGCTTCTGACTCCTATCCCCTACTGAGTGCCCCCATAGCAAGTGGTTTGCTATGGGGGCACTCATGTGGGCTCGATCTCAAACCGTGCTCTGTGTCCATTGATACAGAGAGCGCAGTTCCACCCCACCCCTGCTTTCTCCTCATTGGCTGTGGAGCCAATGCAATGGCCCCCACTGCTGCCTCCATGGCGAGTGGGGAGAGAGAGAAAGTGGAAGACATGTGGCTCTTGGGCACAGTGCTGGATCGACATCAGGCTCCGGTAAGTATAGGGGGGGGGGGGGGTTGTACACAGGCTTTTTACCTTAATCCACAGATCACATTAGGGTAAAAAGCCTTCTGCCTTTAGAACCATTCTAAAGCTAAAAAAAAAAAAAATATTGGCTTAGGGCCAGTTCACACCACGTACAGCCCAGTGCATTTTTTCAGCATCAAAAACTCATGGATAGTAAGTTCTTTGTATCTAATGGCATAGTTCACATGAGTGCAGTCAGTCCCAGAGTGTTCCAGTTCCGGGAAAAATAAATAAAGTAGAACATGCTGAATTTTTTCTGCACTGAACTGTACTGGAATGCAGTAAAACACATAAAAAAAAGCACTGGAACGCACCCAAGTGCACTAATAATACAGAGAAATGCACATTATATCCTTATTTAAGGTGAAGAATAAAAGGGGGGAAATACCGGAACGCATCAAAAATGCATCAAAAAAACACCCCCCGGAAAAAACATGGCAAAAAATGCGCATGCAGAAGCACATTGGGAACACATCTGGACTGTATTCCTATGGTGTAAACCGGCCCTTAAAGTGGTTCTAAAGCTATAACCTTTTTTACCTTACCGTTCCCTGCAATAAGGTAAAAAATGTTCTACCACTATCTATGCACTCCCCCCCCCCCCCCTTCCCTAAATACTTAGCTTTATTGTCCTTTATTGATCCAGCACTGTGACTGACTGCACGAGTTCTCTCCTGTCTCCCAATCTTGGCTGAGAGCAGTTGGAGCTATTGAGTCTACTATTACAATTGACTGCTACTGTCAGTCAAATCCTGTGAGGCGAGAGTGGGAGGAGGGTTCGAGCCAAGATGCATGTGTTTATGGATGCACACAGCCCAGCTCAGGGCACCCCCCATAGGAAGCAGCTTCCTGTTGTGGCGCATCAAGAAGAGGAGCTGAGAGCGCTGGCAGGGGACCCCAGAAGAGGAGGATCGGGGCTGCTTTGTGCAACACCATTGCACAGAGCAGGTAAGTATAACATTGTTGTTATTTTAAGAAAAAAAAAGACTTTACAACCTCTTTAATGCAGGAGAAATGCGTATTTTCTCATGAATCATGGTGGACTTTGGATATTTCTTATGGATCTGTGCAGCAATTCAGCAAGATCCTACACATTTTCCTCTGTGCAGGAGCTTCCTGTAATAAAGACCAGCCATTGCTGCTCTGTCATTGTGCAGGGTGACTGGTCTTGTCTCCACCCCCACCCTCCCCTGTCATTTTCTGCAGGCAGGCTGTAGTAGGTGGAGCCTCTTGGGTCCCTCCCACAGCTCTGCTCTCTGCATAGGCTATGTGCAGCACAAGGATGATATCACTGCTGCTTTTACAAGATAACATCTGGGTTTGTGAATGTATTTGGTGCACACAAATTGCATTTACATTTTTTGTCTATTAAAGAATATATTTCAATGAAAATGTTGGTACCTGCATTCCGCTTTAAACTGTCTGCACATAGTAAGTAGTCTTGTTCATATTAACCCTGTTCAGTACATTCATTATACATTAGAAACTAGCACTAATATAACTTGACTTAGAGTTTGTATTAAACAAGTTTTTTATATATTTTATATACTGTACCATATGTGCCTTTCCAGGCATTCCATTCTTGGTCAAGGAAGCGTGAAGAAGACACACAAATGATGACAGCGGACAAAACCAGGAGGTACTTATCCAAATGCATCCTAAATGTAAAATGTTTACAGGCAAATTACAATCAAAATGACAGTTGCATTTTCAAAGAGAGTGGGCACTTTAACATATTCAAACTCTACATATATGTCAATATTTTCTTATTGGATGGAACTAATATTTGAATATACTTTATGGTTGATGAACCCCATCCGTGCTCCAGTTCCTGTGTATTGTGGCAGAGCAAATATCATGCTATAGTTTGCATAACTTAATGAAGGACCCTATCAATCACTATTTGTATGTAAAATGGCAACAAAACATAATATAATGCATTTAACCACTTGCCCTCCAGAGGATTTACCCCCTTCATGACCATTTTGTGCGTTACGACGCTGTGTTATTTGAACTGATAATTGCGCGGTCATGCAGTGCTGCACCCAGATTACATTTATGTCCTTGTTTTCCAACAAATGGAGCTTTCTTTTGGTGGTATTTGATTGCATGTGCGTTTTTATTTTTTGCGCTATAACCAAAAAAAGATCAACAATTTTGATTGAATTTTGAAAAAAAACAAACAATATTTTTTACTTTTTGCTCAAAAACATATCCAGTAAAAAAGTTTAAAAAATCAAATTTCAGCATAAATTCAGGCCAAGATGTATTCTGCCAACGTCTTTGCTAAAAAAAAATCCCAATAAGTGTAAATTAATTGGTTTACATGAAAGTTATAGCGTCTACAGATGGTGGCGTATATACTGGAATTATTTTTTTTTTTAATACTATTGAGGCGGTGATCAGATACTTATAGCAGGACTGCGGGACAGCGGTGGGCATTCTGACACTGGGGGGGAACTGACTAACTGCCACTGACATCCTCAGTGACACTAATACAGTGATCAGTGCCAATAAAAAGCACTGACACTGGGCAGGAAGGGTTAACATCTGGGGCGATCAAAGGGTTACCTGTGTGCTGTGTGTGTTTCACATTATGTGCTGTGTGCTGTTTTGCTATGTAAACATGCTGCTTTGTATTGCTCTGCTATGCAGAGCAATACAAAGCAGCATGCTGGTGCTGACAGGTGAGAGATCCTTATTGTTTAAATACAGACCTCTCCCCTGTCAGTGTTCCTTGGCAATTGCCGGGTGCCAGTGAGGAATCTCCAGCCGAGACCCAATGATCGACAGCTGTAGACGCCGATTGTAGCGCAGAAAATACATAATTACGTATATATATATATATATATATATGTGTGTGTGATTTTGCACATTGGATCATTGCCGGTATTGGAATGAATGAGTGCTCAATCACTAAACGCCTGTTGCATTTAAGTGCAAAACACTTTTAAGAACGTTTAGACGCATTTATGCACATTTAGGCACGCCAAGCATTTTTTCCCCCCAAAAGCTCCTCTTCTGAATGCACCAGTGATGGGTATTTTTCCTCCCTGTAAACATTCTATGTGTCTGCATGAAACATAGGGTAGCATAGAGGTGCATTTAGAGGCAGTAAAAGTGGCCTTTTTAAAAGGCCCGGAGTGCATGAGCACTTAAAGCAGAGTTCCACCTAAAAAAAAAAAATAAATGTCAGCAGCTACAAAAACTGTAACTGCTGACTTTTAAAATACAGCCACTTACCTGTCCCTCGGTCCAGCGATGTCCTCACCACTGCTGGTTTCACCAGCCATCTTCTCTCCCTGGCGCCAGCATCTTCAGTGTGGGCACCTGGCTGTGACAGCTTGCGGCTTCACAGCCGGGTGCCCACTGCGCAAGAAGTGCTGAGCTTTGTGAATGGCCCCATAGTCTTCTGGGACCTGTCGCGTGTCCCAGAACACTATGGGGAGGGAGGACAACGTCCACTTTCGATTGCCTAGGCGATTGCAGCGGAAGTGGAAGCGAGTACCTGTCAAATTCGGGTACCCGCTCCCCCCGCTCCCCAAAGATGCCAATCCTTAATGGGGAGCGGGGGACAAAGGCTTAAAGTGGAACTTCCCCTTTTGGGTGGAACTCCGCTTTAACTATGCCAAGTTTAGGCTTTGGGGTTGATTTACTAAAGGCATATCGGCTGTTCACTTTGCAAGGAAAGTTACATTTTGCGAGGGAATTTATTCCAAGAGCTAAGTGAATGTGCAAAGAATACCCATCATGTGCAAGGAAAATGAAAAAAAAAAAACAGTATATTTGCTTGCAAATGATTAGATGATGGAAGTCAGCAGAGCTTCATATCATTCACTAAACTCTGGAGAAAGTTCCACTGCAGCATTCATCTTCCCTTGAAAAGTTAATGGTCTACTTGCCTTTAGTAAATCAACCTCTTGTTAGAAGTGGAAACTTCTCTAACAGAGCCTTGGATGGCAGTAAAAAAATATTGGGCTTACACCTAAAATTACAGACTTTAAAAAACAATTTGGGTAATGATTTATATTTCACAAAAGCAAAGCAATATGATATAGGCACATTTACATCTGCACCAAATATGGACCTTAACATTTGCATTAATGGATAAACATTATTGTCAATTTGATTTAATAAAGGCAAATGGGCTGTTCAGTTTGCAGTGAAAGCTTCATGAATGTGGTGAAGTTTGACTTTGTACAGAATACCTGATCACATGCAAGGAAAAAAAAAACAAACAAAAACAAAACAGCATTTAGCTTGTACTTCATTGAATGATGGAAGTCATCTGAGCCTCTCCTCATTCCCTAAGCTCAGGAGCAAATTTCCTTGCAAAATGCAAAGTGAACCACTTATTTGGATTTAGACAATCATTTAGTAAACCAATCCCACAGTGCCTAAGCTCTGGGAAAATTCCCTTGCCAAGTGCAACATCCCTTGAACAGCCTATTTGCATTCAGACTCTTGCCTGAGTGCTGATGTTGAAAATGAATTGGGGTTGCCTCATGTACTTTGGTACATCCATACATTGGGAGTTATTTACTAAAACTGGAGGGTGCAAAATCTGGTATAACTCTGCATAGAAACCAATCAGCTTCCAGGTTTTATTGCCAAAGCCTATTTGAACAAGCTGTCGTTAGAAGCTGATTGGCTACCATGCACAGCTGCACCAGATTCTGAGTTTATCAGTTTTAGTAAATCTCCCCCATTGTAAATTTGATCTGAATAAATAAATGGCATTATTTTTTGCCATTGAAAACTGACATATAAGTAACAAATGGATGTCTGTGAACTAACATTTTGCTTCAGGTAACTTTTGAGAACTCAAAAAGAGAGGTGACCTTCAAGAGATATGGGTCTGCATCCCCTTATTGTAGATCCTATAAAGTAAAAATCCAACTGATAGAGTGAAATGTCATGGGCTGAGGTCACATTTAGCCTGGGTTCACATTAATGCGGTGCGGAATTTGCTGCGTTTTCTGTGCGAATTCCGCACTGCATCAAAATCGCACCCCGTTCATGCGAACCAATGTGGATGTGTATGTTAATTTGACAACACCTCAGAATCACTCTGCAATGTGCAGAATCAGATCGCATCGATATGAATACCCATACGATCCGATTCTAGTGCGGACCCAAAAAAGGGTCCTGCACCTTTTTGCATGTATGGCTCCGATCACTCCACACACAAATTGCATGTGATTTGCATAGGGATGTGGTGCGGTTCCTGTGCCAATCACATGCGATGTACCACACCACATTAGTGTGAACTTTATTAAGCAATTGATCCCTAGCTGAAAAGTAGAAATTGAGAGCTGAAGTAGTTAAAGCCAAACTCCAGTCAATAACTGTTCAATTGTGGATGGAATGTGGAAGGATTCAAACTTTGTATTCCTATCTGTGACTCCATTTGGGGCATTTCTATTTACTTCCTTTTTGACAGATGTCAGACAGAACAGGAAATTAAATACATTGTCTAGTAGAATGTGCGAGGTTTGGAAACTCAGGCAAACGTTTATTGCTGTGTGTGTCCCTATAACGGAGAGTTCCCCTCACTTCCTGTCCAGGTAACAGGTATCAGGCAGAAAAAGAAGAAAAGAAAAATCTCCTTTCTGGGGACACACAAACATCATTAAAATCTGACAAAAAAAAAATCACCTAATTGCAGAACAGAATTTAAATCGAACCGTCCATCACTACTATATATTAAAAAAAAAAAGTTTTGTCTGGAGATGAGCTGTAAGGTTCAATGAATAGAGCTGATATTGTTTACACTTCTGCTAGAAATCACTTAAAGTGTTACTATACCCACAACAGTAAAATCAGTCTATATGCAGTAAAGCAGGGGTCTCCAAACTATGGCCTTCCAGGTGTTGAGGAACTGCAAGTCCCATGAGGCCTTGCAAGAAGCTGACAGCCACAGACAAGACTCCCAGAGGCAGAGGCATGATGGGACTTGTAGTACTTCAACAGCTGGAGGGCCATAGTTTGGAGACCCCTGCAGTAAAGCATGCTTGTTATACTCACTATGGAACCTAAGGGGTTAATCCTCTGCACTATGTAAAAAGGATTTTTGATCCTTTCTTCTCTGCCCCTCTTGTTAAAATGACCACTTGATGCAGACTAAACCCGTAGTCACATGCACATGCTCAGTTTGGTGTGTCTAGCTAGAAAGGGTTTTTTTTTTTCTTGGGAGGGTGCATGTGATCAGCACAGGGCCAATCAGCACTGTCCAGACAGAGGGTCATAGGTTTCACATCCTCCTACAGCAGAAAGAACACTCCTCCTACAAGCTTTAACCAGTTCTCTGCTGAAGTCACAAGACTGCTCTAACTGCTGATGAGGAAAGGTATTTAGCAGTTTATATTTACTAAAATAATTTCATTTCCACATTGTGTGTACTGTGGGAGACCAGATATAGTGAATGCAGGGTCCTGGGTTTAGTAACACTTTAAGCTGACCATAGATGGGTTATTTTTCTTTTCATTCACCCTCCAGGCTGAACAAAAAAGAACGAACAGATTCCCTTTATCCAGACAAGCGAGGTGGATGGAAGAAACCTCCTGCTGAGACATTGGGGATGATTTACAAAAACTGGGGCACTCAGAATCTGGTGCAGCTGTGCACGGTAGCCAATCAGCTAACTTCAGTTTGTTC